AATGCCATATTCTGTAGGTTTTTGAAAGGTTTGAAGATTACCTATCTAACTTCAATACATCTTGATATATCTATAAAACCTAGCTAATATGAAAATAGGATTAACTATGACTATCTATTAATATGTATTTTCTAATTATATACTACATTTTAAATGAGCTGCACAAACATAAAACCTTAATCAAGAGCAGAAATAGACATAAAGACATATAACAAAATTGACCTTAAATTTGTATCAACAGACCAAGATCCAAACCAATGCAAAGTATCCATCTCTATAGCATAATCCTCTTTAAATGTAAACAAACATTCATAAACAATATTTGAGAATTTGGGCATAGTTCTCTCCAAACTGCTTCCTGCTTTTTGTTGGGTGAAGTAATTTGGGGGTTGATAGCAACCTTTCAAGCAGGTCTTGGTCATTTAAACCACATTGGTCTGGAAAGAATTCACATGTTCTCATCCTCTGTGAAAACAAAAGTAGAACCTCTTTTCCAGAGCAATGTATCCTTAGACCCAAATTTTAAAGTCAAAATACTTTTTAACATATAAGTTGCTTTGGCTTAGCAGTCCCCAGAATCAAAAATCTCTCTGCACTTAGCTCATTCAAAGTCAAAAAATTTAAAGAAAACACAATAGTATACATAATCCAGACGGTCTGTATAATTTTCATCTTTACATATCTTATTTTTCTTTACTTCTTTAATCTATGACTGTCTATACTTTGGTCTCTTTAAAGACTTTGTTTTTTTTTTAATGATTTACTTCTTTTTATAACTGTCTATATTATTTTTTATTATCTCTCCCAAGCTTGTATACATTTATCCAACTCGTTAACCCATTTAAAGGTCTTTTTTTTTTTCTGAATCTGCCTTCATTGCATATCTGTAATAATTTTCTGCCCAGGAGCACTTTTAAAATGGTAAGCAACTTGGTCACAGAGGTTGGCTCTGCCTCTCTCGAGCTTTCAATACGGTGGAGGTAGTTCACCATCAGGTCTGGGAATGTTGAGTAGGAGCCATCCTCCCCACCTCAACTCTGGTTAGTACTGTGACACATATAAACCCTTTTTATCTGAGTAAAAGCTAAATCTGTCATGCACCGCACAGCACGGCCTGAGCATATCTCTGTGTATCACAGCAGGAATGCGCCATGTTCTCTTACCTGTGCATTCCTAGCAGACCCAATCCTACCACCTGCCCTACCAGGTGCAGGGGCACTGAGCTGCAGGCACGGTCTCAGCTACTTTCCTTCAAATCTGGAGCAGGCATACAAGACTTAGGCCCACAAACCCCGTTTCAAGTGCTCAGTAGCCGAACCTGCCAAAAGAGTCATGGCCATTTGTGCTGGCTAACCAGGAAGCCGCTGTCTTTGTTCTGGCGAACAAGGAAGCCTCTGCTGGGCAGTTTTTTGCTGCTAATGGTGAATCAGAAAGACCTCTCTCTTTTTGTTTTGTTTTGTTTTGTTTTTGAGACATGGTTTCTCTGTAGCTTTGGAGTCTGTCCTGGAACTAGCTCTTGTAAACCAGGCTGGCCTTGAACTCACAGAGATTCATCTGCCTCTACCTCCCTGCTTACCGGCAGCGAACAGAGAGTCCACCAAGAGAAAAAAAAATGTGGCTAAACTGTGATTTCTAGAATTCCTTTCCAAGCTCTCTCGGGTGTAGCAGCTAATAGTAAGGGATAACCCCGAGAGTGATACGATGTGCATTCCATGGCATTGGAGTTCTGCTGCTGTCCATAATGCTCAGTGAATGGGTCCTACTGGCTGACTGTGGGAGGTCTCAACCTCACATAATTCTGAGCAGACTCACTGAAGTGGGACAGGTTTAACTTAACCAATGAAACCTTGCTTTTTGTTATTTTCTAAACTTTCTTTTTATTGATTCTTTGTGTCTTTCACATCATGCATCTTAGTCCTATTCATCTCCCTGTCCTTTAAGGGCCACCCTCTGCCCTTGCAACCACTCCCTCCCAAATAAAATAAAATAAAATTAGAAAGAAATATCTCATCATGGAAATTGCAGTGTAACACAGTAAGTCACACAGTATATCATTTATTCCATGTATCTTTACTTGCAAGTGTTCATTGCAATGTCTGTGGCCTCTGGTTTCTGCTATACCATTGATATTGGGCCCCCATTGTGGTATCTCTTGCATTTCCTGTTATTGCTTTATGTTGTGAAGATCCTGCGGCTTTGGATCTTCAGGATGTGCCCCTTCACTTGCTCCAACAGATGATAAATGGGGTAGAAGAAGGGGTAGACCACCTCATTACCCTAGTTCTGATTCTGGGTAGTTGCAGGTTTAGTCAATACCCTTGATTGCTTACTAGTATCCCATGATATGTATCATGAACTGTAGTATGAAGAAGAAGATTGATCCTGCCCCCTCAAAGCAGGGTCCAGTCAAGATCACAGTGACTGTCCTTAGTCCACTCATACTTCAGTAAACAATATGAGCAGTAATTGGAAAGTAAACTATGAGTATTAATTCAAATCTCTGGATCAGTAGTAAAAATATACACTCAATTTGGATGTTAATCTTTCACTGTTTATAGACTTAATGGCGTCTAATTACTTTTATCTCTGATGGAAAACAAATAGAAGCAGCAAATCATGTTTATTGTTATTCATATCATATTAATTCACACTAAGGTGCATAATGAACATAAATTGGTTAAACAAACAAAAAATCTAGAACATTGGAAAATATGAAGATCATCATCCCGTTGTAATTATACATGTGCACTTTTAAAAGTGAATACATCTTTCCATCGGCATCTTGAAGGAGGTAACCTGGGGCTGTTGTCAAATGTTTCCCAGGATCAGATAGCAAAGGGTTCTTCACAAGCAGGTGTCTCCTGAGTTTGTTTGGGATTCTTTTACAGCCTTCTTTCCCAGATGGAACTGAGCACGCAACCTGAATAATATCAAGGAGGTTCTTAGAAGGTTTACTTAGGCAGTTAATTTCCAAATAGCCTGAGAAGTGGTTTTTCATTTTAAGTTGGTAAAACAGGCTTTCCTCTGGAAGATGTAACCTCATCATACTGGGCACTTTCTGTTCTGGAGAAGGACAGAATAGGCAGAAGAGCATTCAACAAAAGCAGAAGTCTGTGTGGAGGGGAATCCTCTGTTAGACTATCAAAAGTAGCAATTCTTGGACTATTAAAGAAGAGAGAGAATGAGAAAGTCTTTTGCAGAGAAAGAAATCAGATATGAACAATATAGAAATGCTGCCTAGGATGTAGAATAATCAAGACTTTTAGTGGGACTTACTTTTTAAACAAGGGATATGTATATCACACCTTGTCCCTAAGCCTCAGAAAACATCATAGAAAGAGTACAAGAACTGATGGACAAGGAAGAATTGGGTGTAAGAATATCTTCTACACATATGGGAACCACTGCATTGTGAACTCAGGGCAGTTGTGGTTGCTGACCTGAAACTAAGCTCAAGTATGCACAGCACTAATTTATTTCAGTAAGTGATTAAAAATTAAATAAAAACAAAACAAAGAGAAATGAGGACATGAAGTTAGAATGAGACTTCGCAGGAAATCAAGAATGATTTAGAAGAAATGAGGGAATAATTCAAATACATTGTACGTATGTTATTCCAAAGAATAAGCAGAACATGTCATATTTAAAATAATAAAACAAAAAGTCATCCATGTACTACTTACTCATGATGTTTTATGTGCTAATGGTAACAAGTTTTTGTTGACTTGACACAAACCTAGACTTACTTGAATATTAATTCAAAAATCGCCTCTGTAAGATGGACCTATGGGCATATCATTGAGGTATTTTCTTACCTGATAATCAGTCAAGGAGGGCCAAACCCAATGTAGGCATTACCATCCTTGGGCAGGTGGGTTTGGGCTTTTTAAGAGAGGTAGCTGAGCAATCTAGGGGATGATACTCAGCAATCTATGTTACTCTACACACTTTTTTCAAGTCACTGTCTTGAGCTTCTGCTCTGAAAGTTTTTGGTGATGTGTGATTATAAAACTATCTCTGTTAGAGTTTCTATTTCGGGGAAGAGACACCATGACCACAGCAACTTTTATAAAGGACAGCATTTAATTGAGGTGACAGCTTACAGTTTCAGAGGTTCAGTCCATTACCATCATGATAGGGAGCATGGTGGCACACAGGCAGACATGGTACTTGAGAAGGAGCTAAGAGTTAAAACATCTTGGGCCACAGGAAACAGAAAGTGAATAGAGACACTGGGTGTGGCTTGAGCATATATGAGACCACAAAGCCTGCCTCCACAGTGACTCACTTCCTCCAACAAAGTAATGCCAACTCCAAAATTAGCCCCATTGCCTAGTAACACCACTCACTATGAGTTTGGGGGGGGGGCAATTTCATTCAGACTACCAAAAGTTGCTTTAGGGTGTAATATTTATAGAAATGACAAATATCAAAGTAGAAAAATAGCACACAGCTCAAATTTTGAGAAACATAGAATTAAAATGACTTTTGAAAAACATTGAAAGAATTGTGAATTGATGTGGAAAGGTCATTTGTCTATCTGTTACTTTCATTGGTTAATTAATAAAGAAACTGCTTGGCCTGATAAGTCAGAATGTAGGTAGGTGGAGTAGACAGAACAGAATGCTGGGAAGTGAGGCAGACACCATGCCTCTCCTCTCCAGGGCAAACACAGTGGAGCCAGCTGCCAGGTCAAACATGCTGAATCTTTCCTGGTATCTCGTGGTGCTATACAGATTATTAGAAATGGGTTAAGCAAAATATGAGAGTTAGCCAAGAAGAGGCTAGATATAATAGGCCAGGAAGTGTTTATATGAATACAGTTTGTGTGTTGTTATTTCGGGTGTAAAGCTAACCATGTGGGAGCCGGGCAGGACAAAAAGCAGGACTGCCCACAGCTCCTACTACAGTGAATTATTTTATTCACCCACAATAAGGAAGAAATGACTTGTGAACATCCAATGTGTACAATGCTTTCAAATATTTCTCTCCTCATTTAGATTTCCTTACTGGAAAAGGCTGGGTTTGGAGGTGCTCTTCTCTACACTGATCCTTGTGATGTACCAAAGTCTGAAGATCTTAGCTCTGAGACCTTTATGGTGATGCTAAATCCAGGAGGAGACCCTTCTACACCTGGGTACCCTAGTCTTGGTAAGCTTGTTCTTGTAAGTCTCATATAGGCATGATTTGTAAGTGTATGCTATCTAATTTAGTCAATAGATAGTAAAAGTACAATTCTTAGTGCTCCATAGTTTTTTTTTAAGTGAATACTTTATCTATTCAGAAGTATATACTACCAATCTGTTGGAATAAAGCATTTCTAGAAATCTGTAGTAGGTTGCCATTCCAATAATGTATGCAATTACAGATAGCAGGTATATGCTATAAGATAAATTCAGTCTCGGTTAGGGAGACAGTCAGTTTGGATACACAAACCAACACCGGGAACTCCTGATTGTCACCACTGCACTGGGCCAGTTGTGATAACAGTGAGCCCAGTGTTTAGGGCTATACAGAGTCTATTAGCAGAACTAATTTAAAACCATTTTTCAATGATTAGGAATTCTGTTATAATTTAAGGTTGATTAAGCTCCAAAAAAGAAGGATAGAACAAGAATCCTTGAAATTATTTTCTGGTGGTTTTATTTATCCTGTATGCAAATTAAATTGAATAGGCCAGTGATTACTCTGTCACCTGCTTAGCTTTACCAATGGCTCCTGCTCTACTACTCCTGTTTGGTCTGCATATTCCCTAATACCTTTACCCAATTCAATTATTTTCCAAAAACTTTGAATAAAATCAAATGATGATTGAGACATTAATGTGATCCAGTAGATAGTTAGCTAAGAACATTTTCATTTTCCCAAAAATTCTGATTCAGATCCAGGAAAATAGCACACAGGGTATAGGAGCTTGCCACAGGATCCTGTCCTCTGATTCCAGTTCCCAGAATCCCCTTGGTGGAGATGAGAGTTGATACCACAAATTGTCCTGTGACCTCTGGACGTACAGCATGCTCCACAGCCCCTACAAAGTAGACCACATTCTGCTGGGATGTCAACTGCACTTTTTACATCACTTCAAGTGGGTGATTTTTAAGTCAAGACTGTGAAAGTATTCCTCCAAAAATTTCAAATGAATTGCTTTAGTGACACAGAGGGATCCATGTAAGGAATTGCTACTTTCCAGGCCTCATTGCCCAGCCAAGCTGTTCCTAAGTAGTATTGCATCAGAGCAGGAAGAAATAGTTTCTAATCTGCATGTTCCTGTGTGATTTAGCAAAGAATGTCTTGGAGTCACCACTTCAACAAAGGCAGCATGGTCATTTCGCTGAGCTTTATTTTCTTGGCAGTTAAAAGATTATGCTGCTACAGTGTGTCTCTCACAAGGTGGTTTCAAGGAAATGGAAAACTTTGAATTCCAAGTCTGACTTAAATGGGAACTCTAAAGAAGGAGCCCCACATCTGTATTCAATCACACTGCTGGTGATTCTGAAGCAGTTCAAGTTTGAGAAGCACTGGACTAGAAAAGCTTTATCGTGCTTCATCTGCCATATCCAAATTGGACCAGTGGGGCCAATGCTCTGAACTATGTGACCTCTTGCTACTGTTCCCTCAGCATCTGAATCTTTCATATTTGCTGTCTCTATATCAGTAGAAATTCTGACAGGACATCTTGGATTTGCAGCCCAATTCTTGCTCTCAGCAGGCTACCAGCAGAAAGTCAATGCTGCTGAGTAAACAGCTTCTTTCCACAAGAGCAATGCCTTGGGTGGTGTCTGTCCCTGAGTTTATCTTTAACTGTAATCTAATGATTGTTGCTTTAAGCAAAATGAAAACACATATTCCTGATGTGCTTTTCACAAAATATGCAATCTTTTCCTTTAGGTGTGTGTTGAAACTTCTCAAACATCTTATGTCACTCAAAATACACTGTGATTGACACCAACAGTTTAATTTTTTATTTACTAATGAGTACTGTAGTCTATTGTGCTAATTCCTTTGAGCTGTGCATGGTGGCACAGGCCTATACTGCCAGGAGTTGGGTGACTGGGGCAGATGCTCAAAAATTCAGTTATCTGTAGCAATAAAGTTAGTTTGAGGCCCACCTGGGCTGCACTTTGTGACCTCGTATTAAAATGGAATAAATAAAACCAGCAACTACAAAACCAATGCCAACTCCCAGAAAATAGAATTTTACCAAATTTAAAGAGTTAACAGTGCATCAAAGTTTTATTTTATTATTTTTTCTCATAACTTTGTAGGAATGTAATAAGCCCATGGGGCTTGTCTTGTGCTGTGTTGGTTTCTAGTTGATATTCACAGTAACTAAACAATTTTGATATCAGTGGTTTTTATATCTGTAGTTGTGATTGGTCTACCATCACTTATTAGCTATTTAAAGTCAAGCAAACAAAAACAAAATAGAAAGCTATGGAATGCACAGATACCAGAAAAGTAAGAGGCAGAACTCATTTGTTCATGAAACCACAGTAAATAAACTTTTCCCTCTCTCAAAGTATTAAGCTGTCTGAAATTTACATCTGCCATAGTTCCTGGAGTCAGAAACATTTTCTACGCTTGCATTTATTTTACTAATTTGTCTTCTGAATTTAAATCTTTTTAATTTTATTGTTGCTTTCAAATATATATCAAACATTTTGACTACTAGTTTATTGAAATTCAAGCTGTTTCCTCCATCGCGATTTAGTGTTGAATATCCATAAACTGTATTTCCAGAACTCCATTTGCTTAAAGCTCTTACCTCTGCCCTTCTGTGCTTGTGACACCCTTTTCTCCCTTTCCCCTGTGTTTTAAATTCTCGAGGAAGGTCTTTTTAGTGGTTTGACTCAACTGAAATGTGAAACAGGATACAGGTTATTTAATATTCCCAGAGTTCCAGTTCAGCAGGTCTGTGTTTTTATGCACTGTCTGCTCAGCCCCATACTTGACAGTCAGAGCTCTGCAAAGACTAAGATGGTCACTGAGTGTGACCAGGCTTCAGCAGATGTCCTTGGTCCAGTTACTTGGACAAATGTTTAAAGAGTGACCTGAGCTGGTGCTAAATAACCCGAGACAATGTTGAGCTATTCCTTGACTATAGTACCAGAAAATATGAATACCTGCCTAGTTGTCAAAGCAAAGGGTTGGATGCTCAGAGCACGGATGCATTGTCACCTGGTTGGGGAAGCACAGAAAGCGTCTGCATTCTCACCACTTCGCTGTCACTGCCTGGTGGTGCATGCCCCGACATCTTCCTAGCTATATGAAATATTATCAAACTTATTTCTTAGAATTACTTTAAGGAGAATGATGGTTAAGCATCATTTTTTCCTGCAAGTTTAATTCAATAAATCTTAAAACTACATATTATTTAAGTTCAAGCATTACTTTGCAAACAAAATTTTGATTTGAAAAATAATTTATGAGCATAAGTTTATATGGACCTACATAAGAAGCATTTTATTTGTTGCTAAAATATCTAAGTGTGCAGCTTATAAAAAATGCTTTTGAGTGGTTTTTGTTCTTAAAACCTGTGTGCTGCTTGGTGTATCTGTCACTCAGAGTGCTCTTCATTGCTGTACTGGGAGTGCTTTATTTTGAACAAGTACTAGACTGATAGAGTCGTTTGTTTTGCTTAAGAGCCAACGTTTCCATAGAAATCCACGGTGAGTTCTCAGGGTGATAAAACCTCTACTGAGAGAAGGGTCAGCATTTATGAGCAGCTGGTATTCTCCTAAAGGACTTGAGTTAGGTTTCCACCTACCTCTGGGGGCTTGCAGCCACCTGTAGCCCCATTTCCTGGGACTTCAGCATCCTTGTCTGGCCTCCTTGGACACCTGCATACACATTCCCAGAGATAATCATATATACACATGAGTAAAAATAAAATAAAATATTTTAAGAGTCTATTCTTTAAAACTAGGTGTTCAAATGCATTTCTACACATTAGACAAAATAAACTATTTAAGTGGTACTTCTTAAACTTCATGCTAATTTTATTTTTATTCCCAATGGTCTCTTTTTTTTAATTGAGAAAAGAAAAAAAAGTTTCCGCCTCCTCCCATTTCCCTCTCCCTCCTCCCACCCTTCTCCCCCTCCCCCCACTCCTCTACCCCTCCAATGCCAATCCAAAGAGGAGTCAGGGTTCCCTGCCCTGTGGAAAGTCCAAGGTCCTCCCCTCTCTGTCCATGTCTAGGAAGGTGAACATCCAAACTGGCTAGGTTCCCACGAAGCCGGAACATGAAGTAGGATCAAAACCCCCTGCCATTGTCCTTGGCTTCTCATCAGTCCTCATTGTTCGCCATGATCAGAGAGTCCGGTTTTATCCCATGCTTTTTCAGTCACAGTTCAGATGGCCTTGGTGAGCTCCCAATAGATCAGCCCCACTGTCTCAGTGCACCACTCGTGGTCCTGAAATCCTTGTTCGGGTTCTCCCTCTATCCGCTCCTCAGGCACCTTGGGAGCTCAGTCCAGTGCTCCAGTGTGGGTCTCTGTCTCTATCTCCATCCATCACCAGATGAAGGTTCTATGGTGATATGGAAGATATTCGTCAGTATTGCTATAGGATAGGGTCATTTCAGGTTCCCTATCCTCAGCTTCCCAAGGGACTAACTGGGGACATCGCCTTGGGCTCC